AGGTTCGTCCCGCACATCCAGGAGCGCCTAAGGCCCCTCAACGATCTGCTGAAAAAGGACGCTGCGTGGAACTGGACGCCTCAGCAGCAGCAAGCACTGGATGATGTGAAAGCAGCCGTCACGTCCGCTCCAGTCCTGGCGTTCTACGACCCAGCGCGTGAGACAGTGGTCAGCGCAGACGCAAGCAGCTACGGAATCGGAGGATGCATCCTTCAGAAGCATGGTTCCATCTTCAAGCCCGTCGCATTCTGCAGCAGAAGTCTGACGGACACAGAGACGAGGTGGGCTCAGATTGAAAAGGAACTACTCGCTGCAACTTGGACATGCGAGAAGATGCACATGTTCCTGTCTGGACTGCCGTCGTTCGACCTTCAACTGGATCACAAGCCACTGATCCCGCTCATCAACACGAAAAATCTCGTAGATGCGCCATTCAGGTGTCAGCGCATGCTCATGCGACTGATGCGTTACAACGCAACAGCGGTGTTCATTCCAGGGAAGCAGCACCTGGTACCTGACTTCCTCTCGCGTCATCCACTCCAGAAGCACGATGCGATCGGCGCTGTGCTACAGGAAGACGTTCACAACTTCTGCAAGAGGGTCTTCGATGACCTACCCGCCACACCGCAGCGTCTAGTGGAGATCAGCAGGGCTCAACAGGCAGATGAACTCCTCCAGCGCGTGGTTCAGCAGACTCTCTCTGGCTGGAAGGAGGGAGCAAAGCACCCCGACATGCTGGACTACTTCGCCGCGCGTGGAGAAATCAGCGTTCTCTACCTGACAAGCGGCACACTGCTGATGTACGGCCGCCGCATCATCATACCGCCTAGTCTGCGTGAAGAGATGCTCAACCGTCTACACGACGACGGTCACTTCGGGCTCAACAAGGCCGCCAGCGAGCAGCAGAATCCGTCTGGTGGCCCAAGATCAGCATCGACTTGAAGCGCCACGTCGAGCACTGCGCGTTCTGCCAAGTGCACGCGCCCTCCCAGCACGCTGAGCCACTGGTAACGACTCCAACGCCGTCAAGACCGTGGACTCACATCGCAGCAGACATCTTCCACTTCAACAACAGCAACTGGCTCGTGACTGTGGACCTCTTCAGCAGGTATCTGGAAATTCAACGCTTGCCCAGCCTCACAAGCACCGCCGTCATCGAGCGGCTGAAGCGCCTGTTCTCCAGACTGGGGATACCGGATCTGATGACAACAGACGGAGGAACGCAGTTCACTTCCAGCTCATTCGCCGACTTCGCAGCGTCGTACGGCTTCACACATCGCGTCACTGACCCGCACACGCCATCATCCAACGGAGCAGCTGAACGGGCCGTGAGGACCGCAAAGTGGATACTTCGCCAAAAAGATCCTCACCTCGCTCTCCTGAACTACCGAACAACGGCTGTGGAAGCCACTGGATACTCCCCAGCCCGCCTTCTGATGGGACGTGAGCTTCACTCCCGTCTCCCCGTCGCTCAGCAGCCCGCCAAGAAGGCATGGCGGCACGCCAAACTCCGTGATGGGCGGAGAAAGAAGAAACAGGAGTCAACCGTCAATCAGAGGCGAGGTGCCCGCAACCTGCCTCCGCTGCAGCCCGGCGCCAGAGTCCGGATCAAGACAGAAAAGGGCAGCTGGTCGGAGCCCGCCATCGTCACGCAGAGGCTCTCCAGACGCAGCTATCTGGTGGAGCTGGGCGGCTGCCAATATCGCCGCAACCGACGGCACCTGCTGCTGATCCCTCCTGTTCCGTTACAGGTCCTGGCACAGCACGGAACCGGGCAACGGGCAGCACCAGTGTCACCTCCGGTGGTGCCGCCGACATCCGTGGCAGCACCACGCCCGGTGGTGCCGCCACCACCACCACATCAGCTTCCGCCAGCTGCGCCGTCGCCTGAGCCGGCGACGTCTCCGCTGGCACCCGCTCCACCATCAGTGCAGCCCGCTGACGACCCCGTACACGTTAGCCCTCGTAAAACTCGCAGCGGTCGGATTTTCGGGGTTTAAGAAAACCAGCTTTGTGCTTGGAGTACAGCTTAGCTTTCTCTAGTAGATCTTATTAACATACGCGTAAGAGGGGGAGATGTATCGTAGTGGCTGCTGTGGTCACACCCCGCTCTATAGCCTGGAGCCGCCGCTGAGCCGGCGCCGGTATCATATGCAGTCTGGGCTGTGGCCGCCCAGGCCACCGCCGCCCCGCTCGCTGAATACAGTTCTCGGCTGGTACTGGTGGCGTCTGCACCCTGGGTTCATCAAGCCAAAAGCAAGCACACAAACAATATCCTTTTTACCTTCGTGCCACTATACATATGGACAGTCTCAAGCCTCATCCATCTGGCACTCATGCAGTCATGCATGTTCACAAGTAGGGGCTGCGCGCACTAGACTTCGAATTGTAAAGGCAATTTGTGGAGAAAAAAATCCAGAACGTATGTCAGCGTCAGGTCGCCTCTGACTGCAGTCGCTGCTGGTATGACAATGAGTTGGGATCTCATGGTGGATTTAATGGTCTTAAATGTTTCAAGTCTTTCCTTGATACCAATTTGGGCAATTAAACGCAGCGTAAATCATACATACGTGCGGTCTGAGATTCTAAGCACGGTCGACCACAGGTTGCAGCCCACAGGTCAGGTCACTTTGGATCAGTGAGTGAACCAACGTATACCTATTTTACCGTCTCGAACTCGCATGGATGAGTATTTTGAGAATAAAATGTCCGTAGCCTGAGCTCGTTTCCTTTATCGTGCTAAATATTCATCAAGATCAAGTTTTTTTATTTAGAAAAAACTGACTGCAAATTGCATTAATTGGATTTCATGAAAAATAAGCGAAACACTCATATTTTGCAACACCTAGTAAATCATGCATGAACATTACATTACATTTTAGACTGACGCCCCTGTCACGAGCTGACAATGGTGCCCCTCTCAAGGGAAAAAGTCGCCCCCTCGAGCACCATGGCCCCCTTTCGCTTATTTCTGGCTACGCCACTGCATGTATCGGATATATCGTGAGGAGAGACTGAGAGTCGCAAATCTATTATTTGACTTATGACGTCACTGTGACGTCATTTCAAATGGGATTGACACCAAATTTGGACACAACCTCGGCTAGGTATTCAGGAAGATCAGATGTGTACAAAGTTTCGCTTCTCTATCTCTTCGCGTTTCGTCGCAGAAGTAAAGGGGGGCAACTATATGCCCCCCCCCCCCCCAGCGGCCGGCGGGTGGCGCGGAGGCCCAGCGGCCGCCGGGTTCAATGCACACTGCACAATCATATATCTAATAACAGTGGCCAAGCCTGCTCAATTTTATTTTCACTCGACTCTTGCTGCATTTTAGGTTTAATATTCATTCAACTCAGTCTATCGTTTCTTGGCCTGTGATCTTGCAATTAATATGTTTCTCTGGAGCCTGGAAGCAAGAAGCTTCAAAACGAGCAAAGAAAAGTGCTCAACCAATTATTTTTTTTCGATTTAAAGTGATGCCCTTTGCACAAAATTTGTCATCAAAATGAAAGATCATTTTCCGTAAAATCACGCATTGATCCGGCACAGACGTAATAAAATTTTGTGGACCCCGGAAAACAGCAGGAGCAGTTCAATGACCCCTGGCAAATCTTGCAGCAAATATGTGCTGGTGTTATTGAAATTAAAGCTGAAAAATTGAGCCCATTGTTGGGTTGAACGATTAACTCATCCTTGGGCTCTTCCGATGATGCGTTGGTAAAATTTCCCCGCGTGTCTCTTGGTCTCGTCTACGACGAACTTTAATTATTGATTCGCCATGAGCATAATGATTGATGAATACAGATAAACCCAATTAGGGGCTATTAATACCTCATTTCTGTGCTGAGTGTGAAACTGTTTACTGTTTAGTGTTTACCACGATTTCTTTGTTAATTTTCGCTCGAGCAATTAACACATTTTTCCAGGAAATCATGACAACGGGAAAAAGTAATCTGCGAATGCTTTTAACACAATCTACCGATTGAGCACATTCAAGGCAATAAATAAACCTCAAGTCACCATTAATAAGCAACTATTAATAAGAAAACTACGAGATGTGAGAGCCCTGATCAAAAGACGCGCCAGCCCAGATTGAAACACAGCTCACATAATTACAATGCATATTATGGCTGGACGAGTTTTGATTGGCCATGGAACAAAATGAATACAGCATGGATTATACAATTGGGGAACATATTCCCCTCTCTGGCGCCACTGTAGCTCTCGGGTGAAGCCGGCCTTAACAGCACTATTGCCCTAGGCTGGGCCTCTGACAATAAACCATTGCGATTTTTACCCTCGGACTATACTTACGCCATATATGGTAACATCGTCCTTTTAACCGCTAATCCATACAGCATTAATAAATGCATGCTAGCCTAATTTCGCATTATGCCTTCGTCCAAATTTGCTGAATCTTGCCGGAAAAGAGCGGAATTCATACTGGCTGGCACTTAAGTTCGTCTTCAAAGGTGGTTTGGCTCAAATTATTCAGCGAGGCTATAACGTGACATGTGTCAACTTATGAAGCTGATCCGAGAAATCACAACTCTTGCATCCTCAATTGTCTTGTTCCGGGTGTGCTCGGCGATGTGAATCAACTTCCCTGATAGACTGTTCGTCAGTGACAGTGAGCACAGAACCGAAGAAGCGGTTCTTATAAGTTCTGTGTGCTCCCACACCATGGTTGATGGTACCTCTGTCCTCTACCTACCAGTACCGATCTCATGTTTAGTTCAACGCTCACAAACAGGAATAATCAAGAATAATCTAACTACAAAACTTACAATTGTCGATGTGCAATTTTGCTGCTAGGTCCGGTTCCAAGGTTCCATGTGCAGTGTGCACGTGCATAGCCCGAAAAATAACTTAAGAACCAAACCTTGACCAAACCACTTTTATTTGGTAAAAAGGAGCTACAGCTCAAAATTAATCCTTTATTCTGCCTCTAAATCGATATATCTGAGTCTTAGCCACAAATATATATCCCCTGAGCCCACCTTGTCGAGCGTGTGTCCGTTTGCCGCTGCTCCACTGATGCTTGGGTCGGTTGCCACTCCGCTGAAGATATCTGGCCACATCTGAGCCATCTGTCGCACGGCAGCCGTAGTCTGATCGTCGGCCATTTTCAGGCTGGACAGCAGGAACGTGACGAACGTCACAAGGCTCCTCTGGATCAAACACAGCAAATACAGTCATGACTCCATGTCCAGACTGTCGAATAAACTGGATAGAAACCATAGTCTGTCAAACCTAAGAAAGAACGGATTCAAAGCGCAAGCACCATTTATGCACGTTTTGATGTTGAATGAAATATATTAAAGAATATTTCTCTCTCGACTTTTTACACAAATTTCTTCTAACCATACACGTCCAGTGAGCAAAACACGTGGCAAAAGGATTCAGGAGCTATAACTCCGTTCTTTCTTAAGTTTGCCAGACCATACATATAATTCAACGGAGTGTTCCAAATAGAATATGTATGAGGTCTTCCCATTGTGTCCAGTAGTGGGCAACCATCTGCCGAGCATTATAAAAAGCACAAAATATACCCTGCTAATACAACACCTTTTTAGGTGCAATTTCAAAAAGTTAAAGGCCAAATTAAAAAAAGTTCACGTTCTAAATGCACGTGAACGTTTTGAATTTGGTCTTTAACTTTTGAAATTGCGTCTAAAAAGGTGTAGTTGCCAAGGCCAGCATCGATGGCCACCTCCAACGGCCAAAGTCCGCGGAAACAGCACGCGACGCTAACCTGGGGCAAGTGTTCTAGCGCCGTGGGCCGACCGCGTCGACACACCAGCGGCAGCCGATAGACGGTTCTCGGCGGCGGCTCAGCATCCTCCCACAAATCAGACGGCATGGCGCCGAGCGTCGGCCGATCGGCCGCCGGAGGTACCTATACAACAACAGCAGGTGTCACAACACAATGGTACTTGCTCGGCCGCCGGAGATACCTATACAACAACAGCAGGTGTCACAACACAATGGTACCTGCTCGTCCACCGGAGATACCTATACAACAACAGCAGGTGTCACAATACAATGGTGGCAGTCGGCAGACAAGGTGGAGTGGGTGGAATACACCTTTTGTCAGTTGAATTCGGTGCATCTTGGCATAATCGTCCATTTTAGTGCTAACGAAACATGTGTAGACATACCGCAATATCATGTACCAGAATCGCATAATATCTCGGCGCAGTTCAGACAGTTGGCAATGTCGCATTCAATTTCGGCACAGTGGCAATACAGTCCATTTTCGGCAATAGCGTACACAGAATCGGCGGCATCAACACGGGTTTGGAGGGTAACATCATAGTGACGTCATAAAGTTTTGTCGTTTTCTTCCGATATGGAGCGTTTCTGATGTCTTTGAGCATGAGACTCAACTGCAAATGAACTAAACAAATCCAAATCCAAATCCAAATCCAGTGTATTGAGGTCTCCATTTAAATGGCTTTTCAGCCCTCTCGTCGTGTATATACAAGTATTAAAATTCGCTGACAAACACGTGAATCATTACGCAGTACGTACATAAAAGGCTAAAATCAACGCAATAGCGAAACACTAAACACCGAAAGAAATAAAAGACATCTAAAATACATGGTTTTTCATCCGCTGCCGACCCCGCCAACGCTGTTCCACGTGGACACAGATCTGTAAGGGAAACAGCGTTTCTGATGTCTTTGAGCATGAGACTCAACTGCAAATGAACTAAACAAATCCAAATCCAAATCCAAATCCAAACAGCACCTGCTGTCATGCTGACACATTAATGTGCACTTCCAACTACTAGTAGTTCCTGACCAATTATCGGTCCTTTATACTCGGTCCCATATATCGGATATATCATCAGGAAACTAATGGTCGCAAATCTATAATTTGACTTCTGACTTCACTGTGACATCATTTCAAATGGGATCAACAACAAATTTGGACACAGCCTTGGGTAGGTATTCAGGAAGATGTGTGCAAAGTTTCGCGTCTCTATCAGCTCTTCGGGTTGCGACCACAGCAGAAGTAAAGGGGGGGGGCAACTATATGCCCCCCCCCGCGGGCGCGGAGGCCCAGCGGCCGCACAGTGATGTAAATGGGGTTCACAAGTGGCCATAAATATCAAAAATTCAAATTTACCAAACCGAGTAAATCGCTATATGGCTAACCAAAGAAATGTTTGACGCATCTGAAATCACATAGTTTTCATGTTTTTGTCAAAACCGGCCTCGTGTATGATTGTCAGAAGTCGTGACATTTTCCATGTCGTAAAATGACTGTCAGATACTACTGTCAGATACTTGCAAGTTCAAACGCCGCTAGCGTGCGCTCATTTAACCCGCGCCCTGCTGAAGGGGGGGGGGGTGTTTGAACACCCCCCTGTGGTTTTTCGCGAATATGTCAAAAACGGCAGCGCGGAGCGCCACCGTTTTTGGTACACCTTATCATACATCAATTCTACACATGTTGTGAAAATTTAAGACCAAGGTCATTCAAGGTCAGGTCACCAGGTCACTTGAAGTGACCTCACCTCATAAAAACTTTCAATGTCTGCCATAGCTACACCGAGTGACCGATTGCTTTGAAACTTTCAGGGATTGCTAAGAGCAATAACATGTACAAAATATAGGTATCTCAGAATTTTGATATCGATGACCTAAGGTCAGGTCAATTTTGCGACCTCCCCATTATAAGTCAATGGGAGAAAATTGAAATGCGCCTCCTTTGGACGAAAGACATTATAAACACTCCCAAACACTGAATTACAAGTAATTTAGACACACTTAACATGAAAATGGCGTCCGTGACCCCTGTTTATGGCCCTGAGGTCATCTCAGGTCACGAATGGTATCTAACAGTTTTTCACAAATAACTTTTGATAGAGGCATGCTAGAGCGATGAAAACGCCTTAGATGTGTTCAGCTCGACGATACGGATCGACTGATATGCAACATGACCATTTCAGGTCAGGTCATGACCTTGACCTGAGGTCAAATTTTTGTTGACCTTTCAAAATTCAAGGTCAAGTTAGTTCATTCGATGCGTCTTGACGAGAGGAACACGATGCCGGTAAAAGTAAGCTCGTACAAGGCTTGGGTCAAAAGTAATTGCAGAAAAACTGTTTCCGAAAAATCTGCTATTTTGCAGTTTTTGCCCCCTGCAGGCAAAACCGTTGACGTTAGTGCAAATCTGAGAGGATTACTCAGAAAGGGCGCAGTGGAAGGGGGGGGGGCGGATTTCGCCCACCCCTCCTGTTTTTCGCCAATAACTCGCGCCGCAAGCATAATATCAATGTGAAATTTCGGCTACCTGTCCAGAATTGAATTGCGGATCTTCTCGTGCAAGAAGTAATAATAATAATAATAATAATAATAATGCCCTTTATTTCGTTCCATCCTTGAAACATATGTGAGCACACATGGAACACACACCACACCACAGCAGTCCCATACATGGGACGTCAGCGCTCAACAATGCGCTTTAACTGTGACGCAAACACATTTACAAGATCAGAGCGAGTCACAGAACTGATCTCGAGGCCCATGAGACCATACTGCCGGAGTAGACACTGGTAGTCTGATCAGGATGCCTCCACGGCCAATCTCACTTGACAGGACCGCTTTAATTATAGCATTGTTGCTGCACAGCAGTCTTTTATAGAACATAATCTTCCTATTAGCTATAAGCATTGGACATGTAAGAATATTCAATGAGTAACAGAGAGGATGATTTCTATGGGATTTAGGAACACCGACCAGTTTTTTCACACACGAGTGGTAAGCCACACACAATGCACGATAAGCCACTTTAGCACCTGAGGAATCCCAAAGTTCACAGCCATAAAGGTTTGTACAATAGGCCTTGAACAGTTTAATCTGAATCTCACTGCTTGCCTGCCCCACCAAAGCACGAAGCATATTGACATTATAGTACAGCGACCTCTTGGTTCTCCTCATATCACCACTGTCATTTAGGTCAGGTTCCAGCACATGGCCAAGGTATTTAACCTGGGTTACGAGAGATAGTCTGGTACCATTTAAGGTAATGCTAGGAGCCTGAGAATTGGATAAATGTGCAGAAGCAGCACATTCCCTAGGATTAAAAACCATGCACACAGTTTTTTTTGGTATTAAAACTAATATTTCTGTCAATTGCGAACCTTTCACACTCATTAATTAGCTTTTGTAGTCCAGCCCGAGAAGGCGACAAAAGCACAAGATCATCTGCATATGCCAAAATATTAATGGGACGATTTCTAACATGACAGCCGATCTGAAGCTGCTGCAACCTTTCAAGAAGATCATCAATGTAAACATTGAACAAAAGTGGAGAAAGATTACCACCCTGCCTGACTCCATTGGTGACTGCAAATGACTTTGATCTGCTCTCAGCCCACTTAACTTCCATCTTTTGTGATCTATACCATTGTATGAGCAGCTTTAAATAGGGTTGGGGGACGCCACGCTGCTGGAGTATCTGAAAGAGTTTGGAATGACATACTCTATCAAATGCCTTGCTGGCATCTAAGAAGCAAGCATATACAGGGCTACCTAACCTATTATACAACGCAACTGTTTCCTTAAGGATGAAAGTTGCATGCGTGGTAGAGTGATCAGCCTTGAATCCAAACTGGGCATCGCTGGTATGCAAAAAAGGCTGCAGTCTCTCAAGAAGAATTAGTTCCAAGACTTTTGATAAGGTAGTAGACAGAGCTATAGCTCTATAGTTTGATGGGTCAGTAAGCGACCCGCTCTTATCCTTAACAAGAGGTGTCAGAAGTGAAAAAACCAGTTCATCAGGGATGGAAGCATGGTTTAAAATGGCATTTAAGATAACTGCTACTACAGACAGGACATCAGGCTGTAAACACATTAAATGTTCAGCAGAGATATCATCAAATCCAGCCGCTTTACCAGCTTTAAGGGTTTCTACGACCCTGCAAACGTCCCCTGTGGTAATGGGAGGGACATCAAGTGATGGTTCATGGGCAAGCTGATAGAGAAGAGCACTGTCACTCCCACAACTGTCATCATTCAATATATTCCTAAAGTGGTCACCCCACATTTCAGCAATATTGACACTACCCGAGACATTTCCAACGCTGGGAGGGAGAGAAGTACCCGCTCCTAGACGCCTCTTAACAAGGACCCAAAAATGGTCATACTGTTTGTTAAAAAACGAGGCAGCCAGTCTGCCTGCCTCATGTTTAAGCTGCTCTCTTTTACACTTTCTCAAGGCATACTTGAAAGCAAGCCGAGTTTGTCTCATCTGCATCGCAATTCTGCCCTCCTTTGGAGAACCACATGACTTCCAAAGAAGAAAGGCATGACGAGCAACGTCGTGCTTAAGTTTAACAGACTCATTCCAGCCTCTAATGAATTTAGCATTGTTTGTACGATTTGACCGACCTGCTAAACATAAGTTGCCACTGAACCTGAGAGCCTCAATGAAGCCTTTATAACAAAATGACAGTGTATCAATGTGCGACTCATTAACACAATCAATACCGCATTCCGTGCTGATTTCATCTACAACAGACTCTTCAAACAGGCTAATCTTCTCACGGATAACCTCGTTATACATAACAACCTGCTCCCTGGTGGCAGAAGTCCAGCATAGCTTAGGAGAGCTGGAACAGACAGTCTCCTCCAATATTTGCAACATAGGTTGTGAGGCAAAGCTAACGAGAGGCAAATGATCGCTGGAGTAGCCATCATAATTAATACAGACGCTTTGTATAGCAGAGTGCAAACTGAAGCTACATATACAGTGGTCTAACCACGATGTTGTGCCATGAGCAGCACTGATATAGGTGTAAGTACTGCTAGATGATCCAAGAATCTCGACATCAGATATCACAAAGCCATTCTCAGAGCAGTATTCAACAAGTTCTAAGTAGAAGGG